GAGACTCTGATAATATCCCAATACTCTCCAGCGCCTCATCATCGCGGCCGGCGAACGATGTTATCACTATAACTAGGTCAGGCCGTTCATTAGGGATGTTGTTTTATCCACCAGAGATCAATTCGACTTGTCAGCCTTGACTCATGATGGATGACATACTGATATCTACACATATATTTATAGACTAGCTATCGCCCGCGGCTTCGCCCGCGTGGATCTTGGTTATCGCAATATGCAATTTTTGGCAATAACTCGATAGATTTATTTGAATAAGGATTAATACTGGAGTATGAAAATACCACCCAGACGATACGACCAGCGTGGTTATTCGTAATTTTAGAAAGAAAAGTTATTATTGTGACCTAACCGAAAATAGTTAGACATATGCTATCGCGGACTTATTTGTAGATCTCAATGAGTACTTTAAAAACGTATAACATTGTTTTTCATTATAAGCAACTATTTAGTCAGTGCGCGCAAGATAAGCGAATTTTATAAAATTTTTCTTCAGACTTACTCGACATAAATGGTCACAGTTCGGTAAATATAACATATATGTAGATATAATATATAGCCTATGGCACTTACAAAGGATGCAGCTATCGATTGGTGAAAGAATTTTTTAAATCGGTCCAGTAGTTTCGGAGCCTATTTGTTACAAACAAATAAACAAATGTTTCCTCTTTATAATAAGAGTCTTTATTATTAATATATATATATATATATATATATATATATATATATATATATATATATATATATATATATATATATATATAATTAAATTACAATTGTAGGGTAGTGTACGATAACAGCCACATTAGTTAAAATAACTGTGATTAAATTAATCCTCTATATCTGAAGAGAATGAGTGTAATATAATAAGTTTCGTTTAGGTTTAAGATTTTTTTGTAAAACGTAAGTAAATAAGATAGTATTTCTTAAAATAATAATTAAGTTCCCATTAGAGAGATGACAGTCTTTGTGCAAAGTTCATAGAAAATAACTGATAATACATATATATATATATATATATATGTTTGCTCAATACTTTATATGTATATTGTGACCTACCAGGAATGTATTGGAAAAGGTAATTGAAGGTCTCACAATAGGTTTTGCATTATATTAGATACTAGCGGCCCGTCCCGGCGTCGCACGGGTGGACATTTATACATTTTAAAAAGTGGCCACTAAGGCTGCACACGCGATGGAAGCTTAAAAATGGAGTAACTACTCCCGTTTTATCAACATTTCCCTTCACTGCTCTGCTCCTATTGATCGTAGCGTAATGAAAGGATATACTATAACCTGCCCAGGAGTATGAAGAATAATTGTACCAAGTTTCGTTAAAATTCGTCGAGTAGTTTTTATTTCTATAACGAACATACAGACAGGCAGACAAAAATTTTACTGATTGCATTTTTGGCATCAGTATTGATCACTAATCACCCCCTGATAGTTATTTTGGAAATGTATTTCATGTACAGAATTGACCTCTCTACAGATTTATTATAAGTATAGATATAGATGTACAGGACTGGTGAAGTTATTTACAATATATATATATAAACATCCATAGCGTAATGCTTGATGTGATCATATAAATAACTATGGTATGTTAAATACAGCTTATTTCTTTTATTATGCCCCGATATGTGAGCACTCCATCTTGAGCGAATACAGAGACGACATGGTCCATGACTATGATTAACAGAAGAGAGAGGGGGGAAGGGATCGTTAGTAATGCGTGCTACCAGTCCCATTGCTAGCAATATACCCTGTCAGGTCGACCTCCACGCGGTTCCCCCTGGAAACCATCGTGCTGAGTTCCAGGTGTATTCATCACGATGGGCTGACTGACCTGCCTTTTTTATTATTCACCTATCACCCCTCACTGGTGCCCCGCCAGCGTATACCGTTAGCGCAGGCGGGGTTACCATTCCAATAAAAAAAAAAAAAACAGAAGAGAGAATTATTCACTTTAATGCTTGGCAGCTCACTAAGTGTGTAATTTAGCTGTATTTCGATTTGAAAGGTGAGATATGGCAGTGAATTTACAGGGTACAGAGGAATAACACCTGAGTCCTCAAGAACGGTAACGCATGGGAGGTATGGTGGGCGAAACAGTATACTCTGTTATGTACTGCTCATGTCTGTGACGGTTACCACTTTCCATTAGGTGGGTCGTCAGCTTGTTTGCCATTCTAAGTTGTATATAAAAATAAATTTATAGTACTGCTCATGTCTATAGGCGACGGTTACCACTTTCCATCAGGTGGGCCGTCAGCTTTGTTGCCATTCTAAAAAAAAATAATTAATGAATTTCTTTATTATGTTTTTGTACTTTGTGTCTTTTGTAAATCACCTTTTGAGAACTTGCGATCTATCGTAGCTTTTTCATTACATCCTTCAAAGGTGAAGGGACAAAGGACATATGTTACATTAGTAACAAAACAACTCTCTAATTACTGTGTCGAGTATTACAACATTAGTATAATTACATAGTGAGTACATTGCGTGCCCACGAACACGGCTGTAACAGTGTGAAGCGACACTATAGCATTTTTTAACAACAAGTCCACCTACCATATTACAATAAGGCCCGTGATCTTGTACTTCATACCATGGGAATGCTCCCATGGTACATTTAATACGGATTACAACACAATTTACAACGTGTTTGTTCTATGTTTGTATTTTTATGGCGTCTCTAAACGATTTTAAATAAGAAGTGTTTTAAAAATTATTACTATTGTTTTTTTTGTTTGTTAATTTTGATTAATTACTTTCATTTGTGTCGATTTTAATGATTTTTTTTAAACGAAATTTCCGTTATTAATGACGTTACCAAAATTGAATATTTAAAAAAATGTGTGATGCAGAAATGTAAAAGATAATACTTCAAGTGACGTGGGGAAAGGGTTGTTAGTAATGGAGAGGTTAGTCCCCATTGTTGATAATATACCCTATCAGGTCGACCCCCACGCGGTTTCTTCTGAAAACCATCCTGACTAATTTATCGGTGAATTCGTCACGATGTGCCAACTGACTTGCTTATTTATTCTCACCAATCATCTCTCACTGGTGTCCCGCCAGTGTATACCGATAGCGCAGGCGGGGTTACTTACCTACCAGAGGAAGGCTTTGTACAAAAGTCGTTTACTTGGGCACCTCTGTCCCATTCATGTTTCTAACGTGAAGTAGTTGTGTTTGCATGGCTGTGTTTCGGTTTGAAGGGTGGGATATGGCATTGAATTTACAGGTTCAATCCAGTCCATCAATGCCTAGTTATGGCCAAGGCTAGTATATAGTACTTTTCTCAAACAATGCGCGGAAATCAAAAACACAATTTTACTTTTTAAGTTCAATGACGAATAACGAACAATAATAATTTTTCAGGCGCCATAATGTTTCTTTGTTTTTTTTTTCAATAAACATCTTTCTATTTGCAAGCCAGTTCGAAATTTAAATAAAACCTTTTATTAGTTACCTCCTTGGTAGCCATGTATCGAAATAAAAGGTCATTCCATTTTTAAATTACAGGACAGATATGAGTTTACATAGTAATTTATCTGGCCGCAAAACACGACAGATATGGGTTTTCATACAAATTTTGGCGGCCGCTGCCCGCATGTATCTGGCCAGTACGGCAATTTTGATTTATCTCTAAGAAGATTGTCAAAATAATGCTCACATTTCCAAGCATGTTTGAGAAAAATATATGTTATTTTTTTAAATGTTTATATATCAAATGACATGACTCGAGCATTTTATATTCGATAAATTATCAGATATATTTCAACGCATTAGGCAATTGTTAACAAGTCACTATGCGTAATGCTATTTATACCACAATACATTTACATACAATATTTCGCAAACGGCATTACCTAAAGGTCTCAAATTACCAGCTCATCATTAATAGATTTGTTTATATTAAAAATAATTTATATTCTCTTAGTTATTATATTTAGTTATATTGTAATACATCATTCTAGCTGTCTGTTTGTAAATACATAGATTAATGATCGAATTCTAGCAGTATGGATGTGGTGGTCAAAATTTAAACGTTAAGACTTCGTAGAAAGATACGTTCACAGGTTTTTATTTCATTGTCATCATTATCTCAGCTATGCCCAGTCATGCCCACTGTTGGACATAGACCTCCCCCATAGACTGTCATAAGGAACGATCCTGAGCCAAACAAGCTGACGGTCCACCTGATGGAAAGTGATAACCGTCGCCTATAGACATGAGCAATACTATGGACATAACAAAGTATACTGTTTCGCCCATGATACCCCCCATGCGTTGCCATTCCTGAGGACTCAGATGTTATTCCTCTGTACCCTGTAAATTCACGCCATATCCCACCCTTCAAACTGAAACACAGCCATGCAAACACAACTGCTTCACGGTTGAAACACGAATGGGACAGAGGTGCCCAAGCGATCGACTTTTGTACAAAGTCTCCCTCTGTTACTCTTATATCTTTGTTAGTTGTAAACCCATTAAGAGAATTATTATCTTTATTTGAAAGAATATTATTACAAAAGATACCATAGAAATTTTATCAAAACCGGATCAGTAGTTTAATTTTGAAATAAAAAAAAAAATATTTTGGTTGAAACACAATCTTTATTTATCATATTTTCCAAATAATTACAGTAGCACGTCAAGTGGTCCCATAGATTTTGATTCTTTGAATTATAATAATACTTATATTTTTCTTAATAGATGATAATGGAATGGTAACCCCACCCGCGCTATCGGTATACACCGGAAGGGCACCAGTGAAGGATGATAGATGAGGATGAAGTAGGTCAGTTAGCCCATCGTGACGAATTCAACAAGAATTGTTCACGGTGGTTTCCAGGGGGAACCACGTGGAGGTCGACCTAATAGCACATTGCTAGCAATGGGGCTGTCAAACTCCATTGCTAACAATCCCTTTCCACCCTAATACTTATGTTAATAATGTATTTTGTTTGCTCCAGGCCGGTTCTCCATCATCACAGATACCCAGGACTCGGTTCACGTGCCACGGGCGAGCGGCCGGTTATTATGCTGACGTAGAGACGGGCTGCCAGGTTTGTACAGTATTTATTTATAATTCTCAAACTAGATATTCAAGTATTTTAAATTTTGCCTGCCTAGTTGTAGCAAAATATGTGGACTTAGTATTATTTTAACACCTGTATATATATCATATTTCTTGCAAATATTCATTCATTCATTCATTCTATCATGCATTTATTCATTAATTCATTTATTCTATCATTCATTAATTCATTCATTCATTCATTCTATCATTAATTAATTAATTAATTCATTCATTTTTCTATAATTAATTAATTCATTCATTAATTAATTCATTCATTCATTCTATGATTCATTCATTCATTCATTCTATCATTAATTAATTAATTCATTCATTCATTCATTTGTTAATTTACGTGTGTTATCAATGACTCAAATAAAGTGTTCATCTATCTATCTATCTATAAATAATGCTAACTTGTCATATTTCATGTAATTGTAGCGAAAATGTATCTACATAACATATCTATGTTGGCACGCGCTCTCCCAGACAAATAGCAAACGAATCAGTCTAGATTTGAGCAGGTGTTATAAAAATTAATTCAACTGGTCTCGGGTTATAATTATGATAATTTATTTAGTTCCTCAATACTCTAATATTAGTCATACAAATTAGTCATGAGAATATATCATAGAACATATATTTTTAGTTTATAAGTATAGTAAAAATATATTGTCGTTTCCCAGTTGTAAAAAAAAAAAAATTAATGTCAATACAGTATTTAAGTAACATATAATAAATGTATTTGCTCGCTACTCATCACCTTCTTCATCTTATTACGATTTTTTTTAATGGGTGAAAATGGTATGTTAGCCCCGCCTACGCTAACGGGATACGCTGGCGGAGCACCAGTGAAGGGTGATAGATGAGAATGAAAACAGGCCAGTTGGACCATCATGATGAATTCATCAGGAGTTAACCATGATAGTTACCAGGGGGATCCGTGAGGAGGTCGACCTGGTTGGGTATATTGTTAGCAATGGGATTCTCAGTCTCCGTTACTAATAATCCCTTTCCCCCCTCCTTATTACAATTATATAATAATTGTAGAGATTATTTTTGTAATGGCGAGACACCATTGAGGGATGACAAGTGAGAATGGAAAAGCTGATCAGTTAGTCCATCGTGATGAATACATCTGGAATTTAGCACGATGGTTTCCTGGGGATCACGTGGAGGCAGATCTGATAGGGTATATTATTGCTAGTTATGGGTCTGGTAGCCTGTATTGCTAACAATCCCTTCCCGCCATATTTGCAGCGTTTGGTAGGCGGGTTGGCAACCGCAGTTAGTCTTTGGTGATGTTTTAAGAAAGACGCTGCTATGAGCAGCAAGAATGGGTTCTCGAGCATTAATTTTTGTTGTTATCTCTTATGACACCTATGGGAAAGGAAGGGGTGGCCTATTCTATGCCGGAACGACATGGCTATACATGGCAATACAGTACATATACCCGGGGGAAGGGATTGTTAGCAATGGAGTTTGACAGCCCCATTGCTAGCAATATGCCCTATCAGGTCAACCTCCACGTGGTTCCCCCTGGAAACCATCGTGAACAATTCTTGTTGAATTCGTCACGATGGGCTAACTGACCTGCCTTCATCCTCACCTATCATCCTTCACTGGTGCCCCGCCGGTGTATACCGATAGCGCAGGTGGGGTTACTATTTCATTATCACCTATAAAAAAAAAAGTACATATACCTTGATTATTAAATAACCCAAATTGATTATTAAACATATGTAAAATCAATTAACGTCATTAAAACGCACGAGTAACTGTCAACAGCCGGCAACTGACCCTGAGATGAATTACTATATCCAATATCTGTGCGACGGCCATAAAGTTACATTATGTAAAACTCATCAGACAAAATGTCATCGTGTATCGGAATATAAATGTATGTATGTATGTATGGATCACGATGCACGCGTGCCGAGACGAACCGCACCTTTTTTTCAACCACCTTCAAAAAAAGGAGGCTATTTTTTCGTTTTTTTTTATGTTTGCTACCTCATAACTCCGTTAATTGTAAATCGATTTGGAAAAATTCTTTATTTGCAAGGATATACTTGCACATTGGTCTCGTACAAATTTTTTATCAATATCGGTTCAGCAGTTTAGTTTTTAAATTAAAATATCTGATTTTTTTGTGGGACATAAACTAATTATTAATGGGTAGTATTGGAATGGTAATCCCGCCTGCGCTAACGGTATACACTGGTGAGGCGAAAGTCAGAGATGACAGGTGAGTTCGGAAAGGCAGGTCAGTTAGTGTGGGCTCTGAATTCAATTAGAATTAAGCACAATGGTTTCTAAACCATCAAAATAGTTCTAATCAAAAAACCAGTAATATGAGCTTATATTTAGTAAAATAAATATTTTAGAAAGTTTTGGAATGATAAATAAATAAAGTAAATATAAAATAAAAATAAAGTGTTACAAGAGTGTTACATAGTTTTTAAAAAATTACGGTACAGATACATAAATAAATATGGTTTCCTTTATTAATTTGTGTACCAACTGAGCAATGGAAAAAAATACGACCAAGCGTAAATAAATCGATGACAAAAGATTTCATGGTTATTGATAGCTTTTTAAATAAACACGGTATAAATTTTTGGTTACACAACCGTAAACATTGGCTGTACGGAGCATGTCTTTGCATTTAAAAAATTAAGCCAATATGGCGGTTCGCGCTCTTTTGCGATTTATTGCCGCCGACCGATAAAAACGTCTTACGTAATCGTACGTTGATGAGAATCATTTTAAAAAAATCACCACGGAGGTATGTTAAACTTTTAAAGTTACTTCACGAATTGTAAATTGATGTGTTTTACTGAAAACGTTGCATTTTACGTTATAAATATGTGCACGGTGTAGTCTGGTGTAGGTGTAGTGTGTCCTGTTACAATTTATAACTCCGGTATTACGACATATTTGTGTAAATATCTTGAATTACATATGTATTTACTTACTCAATTTCACTAATCCTATAGAATAATGTGAAACTCTGTAAAGATGTATTGATATTTTATTTTATAGATAACCTAAGTTTGTTACTTACTCTATTACACTTAAAAAGTGGATTTGATTGAAGTTTGATACACAGATGGGCCTTATTTGAAATATAAGAAATGAATAGACAAATTATTAGTCTGCAAGCAAAATCCGGTATTGAAAAACACTGTTAGAAAATCAAATGAATACGAGACACTCTGGTAGGCTCGCTCCGAGCCACGTCGAATTGAAATAGGCTCGTAAAATATATAGGCATGTCGAGTTCAGCACTTCTGACTATCAACCAACGGTTATAGTCTTGTGTACATTTTTTATATGCAGAAAAAGTTGAATGTTGTTTGACAATTTACCAGAGGGAGACTTTGTACAAAAGCCGATTGCTTGGGTACCTCTGTTCCATTCGTGTTTCAACCGTGAAGCAGTTGTGTTTCGATTTGAAGGGTGGGATATGGCGTGAATTTACTGGGTACAGAGGAATAACACTTGAGGCCTCAGGAATGGCAACGCATGGGGGGTATCATGGGCGAAACAGTATACTCTGTTATGTCAATGGTACTGCTCATGTCTATAGACGACGGTTACCACTTTCCATCAGGTGGGCCGTCAGCTTGTTCGCCATTCTAAGTTGTATAAAAAAAAAGTTTATTATTGGCTTATTAATAATGTTGTTTTAGAATATAAAGCCTTTTATTTAGAGCAATCGTCTAACAAACTTTATAAACAATCAGATCAAGGGCTCCTCTTACGCACTTGACCTTTTGCAGTTCAATATAACCGTTATAACCAGTTTAGATACTTTTAGATGCAAAAATACGTGATCGTTTAAAACTCTTTATGCACGGTAACTGTTGCAAATTGGTAATGATAACTTAAGATTTTTTCCACAAGCTGATTTCAATCGCTACGATATTACTGTGCAAACATTATATGACTAAACATTGTCAAAATAATCATCGAAATCAGCAGAAAATTGGCGAAAATATCATGTAATATACGTATATATAACGTTAAAGTGTAATGACTTATGTTTTTTAATTTTATGTAACTTAGAATGGCAAACAAGCCGACGGAAAGGGATTGTTAGCAATGGAATTTGACAGCCCCATTACTAGCAATATGCCCTATTAGGTCGACCTCCATGTGGTTCCTCCTAGAAACCATCGTGAACAATTCTTGTTGAATTCGTCACGATGGGCTAACTGACCTGCTTCATCCTCACCTATCATCCTTCACTGGTGCCCCGCCGGTGTATACCGATAGCGCGGGTGGGGTTACCATTCTATTATCACTAATTAAAAAAAAGCTCTTTATTTGCATCAACAAATATACAAATATTGTAAAAATAAAAACAAAAGAAAAACAGTTAACATAAGGCAGAGGGAGACTTTGTACAAAAGTCGATTGCTTGGGTACCTCCGTCCCATTCGTGTTTCAACCGTAAAGCAGTTGTGTTTGTATGGCTGTGTTTCGGTTTGAAGGGTGAGATATGGCGTGAATTTACTGGGTACAAAGGAATAACACCTGAGTCCTCAGGAATGGCAACGCATGGGGGGGGGGGTGTATCATGGGCGAAACAGTATACTCTGTTGTGTCCATGGTACTGCTCATGTGTATAGGCCACGGTTACCACTTTTCATCAGGTGGGCCGTCAGTTTGTTTGCCATTCTAAGTTATTGTTTTAATTAGTACTTTTGCCTATGCATTGATAGCCAGTAAGGACTATGATTTTATAAACATAAATGTATACGTTCTATAAATCTTAGAATAGGCTCTAAAAACGTCAGTAGTGTCGCAAGCCAGGCCGTTGACACTATGGTGTCTACCTGTGCCTACATATTGCCACCAAGGCGTAGATTGCACCATCCTTTTGTTGGTTGACAATTAAATTATCAATAGGCTAACCTTTAGTATGTTGTAGAAATATAATACTGAGGTATTACTCTATACTTGTGCGTTGTAGAATGGTGC